ATTGCATACCCTTTTGTAATCCCTAAATGTTTAACATTGGTTTATGAATGAATACATATAAACGTTCCAGTCAGTTGCAGTTGTGTAGGCTATTACTTACTTAGTACATTGTAAACGTTTAATTTCAGTTTTTTTTTCACCAGGCCAAGCTAATGAACTTTTCAGAGCACTGCAGACAGAAACGTTTAATGTTATGCTTCTAATTTAGGCAAAAAATGTAGGTAATTGTGGTTTTACAGGATTTAAAAAAGAAAAGAAAAACGGTTTGACCAACGGTAACAGTAAAGTAGGTAACCATAGTAACGATTTAACAAAACTGTTATCTTATCATCTTACTATAGTTAACTTATGATTCTGTTTTTGTATTAATTATTGCAGATAAGAGACCTAAGTGTTAAGCCTAATTACTGCGGATACGTTGCAAGGTCCTTAATGGTTGATTCCCATTGACTGCAGTAAACCGTCCTCCAGCACCACACATTATGCTTAGCGGTGTTACGTTAAGCTAACCACATCCAGGAAAGCAGCCTTATGTTGGCAATACCTGACACATTTAGTGGCATATTTTTTTTGATTCAGACCTGGATTTGACATTAAGCCTGCCCTCTCTACCGTGAAAGGTGAAACCTGCTGTCAATCACCATCCTCCGACATGTGACCAGTACACACGCCTCACCGGTGCTGAAACATAGCTCATCCCTCCGCAAGGTAATTAAATGATACAAAAACAGCGGTGTTTTAAACTGAGTGACGTTTACCTCGTTGCAGAGTGCTGAAGATGTCTCCTTTGACTCTCGCATTTTCTGTGCATCCGCAGTTTGGCCCTGCAGCAGTTATGTTGTAACGTTAACGGGCTACAAATCCTGAAGGAGGAGCGTAGCGGTGAAACAGAGGCCGCCATGTTTGTGTGTGTGTCGTGGAGCGTGTGTACGTAGCGCGTGTGTGCATGCGTGCGCGCATGCGTGCGCGAGAGGGAGAAGGGGGGCAGGGCAGTATGTGGACTGTATAGCTGATGACTGAATGAAGGCTGAGCGTGTACGTTGCTTTATGAGGAACAGGGATTGTACCAATGAAAGAGTGTTTGTCAGTATAACAATGGAGTAGTTTGCCCCTTATTTGAGGTATACGAATATTGACATTCTTTCTGATATTCATACCACTGTCATCTAGGCCTATGCTTGCCATTCATCTTAATTTCACATGAACACAGGGAAACTAAAGGCATCTAAAGGTCACAAAATCCATCGAACAGCATCCCTAGAGCGTATCTAACACATATCCATTGCAATTTAATTGTGGTATGTTTTTAGAAAGGATCATTTATTATCAGTATATGCAACACAGGATTGCACAACAATACGCTAGTATCAATTCATTAGGCCACACTTGAAAACCATCACAAAACAGAAAAACAAAAACAGCTGTGCTTTCCTGAAGTGCATTGTGGAATTTGCAACATGGAGGAAGGTAAGTAGACAAAAACAATAGTACATTCTGTTTGCAGATAATCCCTTTATACCAGAGTCCTGCATCCTGTCTGGCAAGTTTGAATGACGTTTATTTTTTCTGACTTCTTTCTGATTTGGTTTCCAGATTCATAGCCTCATAGCCTTTGAAATATTACAGTAGAGTAGTAACCAAAAATAAAAAGCAGTCAGGGTCACACATCCTCTTTGCCACAAGAGGGCAGGAGCTATTTGGGGCCTTAACTTAATGTGTAAGGTCCATCCTAAAGTAAAATGTATCATTTCTGAAATTCAAGTAAAAATAAGCATCAAGTAGGTTGTAGCTATGAAGAATAAAAAGGCTATTATTATATCTTATAACTTGCTGGTTTAACCAACACAAAAATAGGGACATGGTAGACAATAAGGGCAAGAAGATATGTCACTGACACACACGTTTCTGCTACAAGTTACATTCACATAACTATGAGAAAGGTGCTTGCTGGGTGCACAAAGCCCATGAATTTGACCCTTGGGACTGGAATTTATATCTAACATACTTCATTTCATTGTTTAGTTTTTTTAAATCTTTATTAAGACCACAATCTTATTCCTATCCTGAACAACAAGTGTTAGTTGTAAATAAACACTATAATAGTGAGGTAAACTACAGGGATGTGGTTTTGGTACACTTGACTTCAAATACACATTACCAAAAACCATGTCTTCACAAAATATTTGATCACATGAAATTCAATTTGACATTGATATGTGAAGGCACATTTCCGTAAAAACTGCATCTTATGTACGCTACTGTATATTGGTGGCTGTGTGAGCTGACAAATTAACATGAACCAGATTTATTTACAGTCGCCAGTGTAAGGGAGATATGTACGAAAAGTAACACTATGGTAAGGACTAAGCTCTCAAGGTCGCAGTACAGTGGGTTATGTAAATGGTTCCAGCATATTGATGGTAAAATGTTAAAGAACAGAGTATCGGGCATAAAGGCCTGCGAAAAGAAGAAAACGTATAACTTTGTCATACAATTCAGATTCAACAAAGCATTCAAAAGTTCGAACAAAAAAACATCATCATCATTGACATTAAAGCAAGTTGTTGATTGGAGGAAGCCATAAAGATTATCGTACAAATGGCACTGTTAGAATAAAGGTTTGTTTGAGTGGTGGGAGCGTATTTGGAAAATGTGGTAAACACTGCACCCAGCAGGCTTGCCCGTACACAATACTTATACAGAATGTTCTCATTATCCCTTGTGACAAAAGCTAAGCTGCAGTTTACTTAATTGATGGCTTTTACATACTGTTTGCCAATACATGGGTTGATTGCATAAAGTACACCAAATGCTCCTGAAAACGTAGTAACATGCATGCAAATTGCTGCAAAACATCAGTGGATGTAGAATTTTCCAATCTAATTGTTTTTTATTATAGCAACACAGACTGTACAATAATTATTACAGGAGTAGCCAGACCTCCTGTAATGGTCTGAGCAGCAAGGTCTGAGAAGACTCCAGGAAAGCAAGAACAAAGAGCATCAATTTCCTGTAACTATGATGAAACTGTGATATTTGTTGTTTGACTGTTAAAAAGCAGACAGTACATCTGAGGTACAAGATTTCGACAAGTGGGTTAACAAGTGCTGCTGTCAAAAGCTTCCTTACTCAGTTGCTACAACTGAATGAAGTAAATAAATCGAATGTTCTGTTTTAACTTGGATTATTGAATCTTAAAAAAATGTGAAACTTCGGTGAGAAGACGAAATACATATGACATAAGAATCAGCCATTGATATGATCCTTGGTAGTGTCTGTATAAAGTTAAAAAGTATAACCTTGATCTTAAAAATATAAAAACATAAATTAATATGTTAATAATATGTATATATAATGTAAATACTATTGTGCCACTCAATGGTAACAGATTCTTTCTCTCCCTATACCCTTGTCTATAAATAATGTATATCATTTTAAAATAGGCCTTGCTGTGTAATGAGTACTTTTACTTTTGGTAGGTTAGGCTATATTTTGATGCTGATACAATTTTATATTTATCTAAGTATATTTTCAAATGCAGGACTTGTACTTTGGCTGTGTACTTCTGCACCAAAGTATTGCTACTTTTACCTAAGTGCTCTGATATTCAAATAAAGTACAGCACTGCATTGATTATACTGTGCCAACATCTCTTAATTTACTTTTACAAATATCTGAATACTTCTCTACTTCTGGTGATGCTTCATCTGAGGTTGGAAAACTTTAATTCACTATACCCAATAAAAAAATGCAATGAAGTAACGCAATCATTTCTGGACTGCTATAGGAATCGGTAATTGAAATGAGCAATATGCCAGTAATTGATGACAATGCTGTACAATTATTAAAAACATTTCCCGTCATTGTCAAGATTAGTATGACTCACCCATGATGTTTGTGTGTTTTGTGTTAGGATGGGCTAGATGGAATGGGAACTCGAGGCTATGAAAATATTTCTAAATGTTTGTAAACCCAATAAATCATGCATACATATTCCTATGTTATCCTGGGGGTGAGAATTAAAAATTCATGAGATTTTCACAAGATTATGATGAAGACTTACTGGATTTGGGAGTGTATGTAGAGATTGGCCAACAGGCTAAATACTTTTGGTTTTTATTTTGCAATATGTTAAGGCTGTGAACTTGTGTTGGTTGAGAAAGTGTAAATGGCTGTGTGAGGTCCACTGTGGAATAGTACGGCAGGGAGAGCTAGACGTGGGTGAGTTAGTGAGAGTCAGTTGTTCCACCCAAACACTGGCTGAAAGAAGCAAGTCATTTCTCTCCAAGCATTTACACAACTGAAAAGGGAAATTATTTCTCAGACCACAAACAGTGCTCCTATAGTTATACATTTTCAAAAAGTAGCCTATTTTTTTATTTAAACTGTTAGGAAAAAACATTCCCATCGACCGAGTGATCACAATGTTCACACGAAAAACGCATTTACCTCCGAGGCATAGAGCAATTACAAGGTCATGGGAGATAACCGAGTTTTTCCACCACAAAGACTTGCGAAGATGAGATGGATTCCTTCATGGGCAAATCTCGACCATAACAAAAATACACACTAAAAACAGCTGGGGAGGAAACAGGCAGCTCAATGTGTTTTATTTTAACGAGATGTGAAGGTATACTCAGTCAGTTACTGTGCTGTTTCTTGTTGTCATGTGTGTTTGGAGGAAATGCATTAATATATATTTATTTTATTTATAAATTAGATTAAATACAATGTGAGAATTATTATTAAGTACATTCAATCATATCTTCTTAAACCATTCATCTATACATAATTAAATTGAAGTAGAATGATAATTTTCTTTGATTGTTTCCACACTTAGTCTTAATTATGCAATAATTCTCAAATCACATTAATGGTATTAAGTGTATGTTCCTCTCCCCCTACATGGTGTCACCCTGCCCTTAACAGATTACACACACACACACCAGATATCGCTCACACACACACACACACTCCCCCCCTCCTTCATCCCATAGCTGTCATCCAGAGCACTGTTGAGACGACGGCTCAATCCCTAAACGCACGGATGAGAGCAGAAGGCGACATTCAGGGCAACATGGTCGCATGACTCGTCCAAGCCGAGGGCAACCATTCCGGGGGGACGGCTCCACTGCTGGAATCTTTGACATTTCCGACGCTACCCACGGAGAGCGCGGTTCTGGGAAAATTAAGTCAGAGATAGAGGCGTAGAGGCGAAGAGGGAAGGCACATTTCCCCCCCTTGCGGTGTCCTATTTCGTTGGTAAGTACATTTTGTCTGGCAAAAAAAGCGCTGCCCATGTGTCTTTCCCCTTCCACGGGGTTTCGAGCCTTTTTTTGCCACTTTCCTCGCGCATTTCTTTGTGGTGAGACCGTGAGGGGCTGCATTTAAGGGAGGAGGAACGGGCCTGGTAAGTGAGAACACAGCGTAAAATAGGAAATGCCTGTGTATTTAAATAGGATGCAGCTCATAGCCACGCAGTCTGAACACTTGTACTCAAGTAGCGTTGACTGGCAGCGTTGAAAAGGTTGCATTGCATTTTGTGTTGGCGTACTCGTGATATTGTTGCCACTGCTTGCACGCAACTACAACGAGTGAATGGAGCTGCTACACGTGTGTGACTCTACATCCGATATAGTATCACAATAGCAACACTACAGATGTACTCGTGTGGTCTACACCGGTCTGCGCCGGTCTGCGCCAGTGCGGGAAACTGTAGAAAAACGAGCACTTTGCTCAGAGCTTGGCTTTCAGCCTGCATCTAATCACTTCGCTGTTAATCACGCGAGTTTATTTCACTCAGTTGAGCTTTCCGTGCACCGAGCAGCCACTGTTTGACGACAAGGCGGGTCGACAACTGGGCATGCGCAATGTGCACTGCCACTACCGCCCCAAATAATCAAGAAGTTATAGAACTAGCCTATGCCAAACATCTCAGAAGTGCCTCGGGTCACTTCACTGAGTTTCGAGCTTTTGTTGTCACGTAATTTGTGTTCTAGTTGGATATTTAACCGTGGATGATCTTATTGTGTTATTAGGTAGCCAGCCACAAAACACACATGGATGCAAAACCTGATATGCACCTACAGATATGTATCTGGCTTAGTAATCAAGACAATTATCGGGACAGTCCAGAGAGTACAGTCTGTTCCTCCAACTGGTTGGGAACTTCTTTTTTAGTTTGACACCATGACAGAAAACTATTTTTCAACAAGAAAATTCGCTTAAAATTGAGATTCTAGATGTTTTCTTGTCACTTTACAAGAACTATCCTGTTAAATGCTTTTCCTTTGATGACCCAGCAAAGACAACCAATATAACATATAATACAATATGCATGCATGAAAGAAAGAAAGACATTTCATTTGTAAGGAAAACATGAAATGAAAAAGTACTGCATGCAAAAAAAGGCCTATTCTGGGTATTATTATACTGCATTAATGCAGCCTTTTACTATTTCACATGTTGGAAACAAATACAGCAATTCCCTCTACAAGAAGAAGCATAAAGCAGAATACAACAGAAATACATAAAATGTGTACTTAAGTACAGTACCGATGTATTTTAGCATGACTACATCAGTATTTGCTATAGCATGCATGATAGCTTGCACTTTGTTGTTACGTGTCCCAGTTATTCTGTTCACTCCTTTTTATTTTCAACAATATGTCAAATGCAATGTTCATATCATTTTGGTTGTATTTTACAAACCCAGACACTAAACCTAAATCTTATCTTATGGCCTAATAGGCAGGGGAAGTCACGCAGCCAGAATGGAGTTTGTAAGTTAATGATTAATTTGCATATTACGATAAGAAAGAGTGAGGAAGAAGTGAAAGAATGCTGGGGTCTGCCACTCCTTCCTCACATGCTTTTCTTTTAGTTGTTTTTCTCTCATAAAAGCTTTGCTGAGAAAATGTAACATCACAGCAGGGCCTCTTAAACAAGAGGAAGACTGATTGCTGTGTCTTGTCTAGCCATAAAGATTATAAAAAAGATATTCCCTTTCGTGATAAGATAGGCTGATTAATACTTTCCTGTTTTTACACGCCTTATACGCTTGATGTGAACAAACAAGTGCACAGCCAGGGGTTCTGTTGACCAGCTCCAATGATGGGGACCATGACAACAGCCTCTCTCATTCTAAAAAAACATACCCATCTGTCCATCAAAAAGTAATAATGCATGGCACTTAAAATGAGTTAACAGCTGCTTAAACTCTTCACTTATGTTTATAACTTATATACACGTTTTGTAGTACTCTTAAAAAATGATTTGTTAAATGTTATTGCATACAATTTAAACTGCTGTTTAGCATTTTGAAGCAATCTGATGAAACATTTCCGGTTAACTTGTGTGGGGAATGCACAAAGTGTTGCTGCAGTGATGCTGTTTGCTTTGGCAGAGAGGAACCAACAATAATACCATTGTTGCCCTTCTTCGGACTAAGTCTTATTTTTTCTATCCCCACCTTGAGAATTTGTGGTTTCTCTTAAAAGTTGGGGGCACATTCAAGTTATATTTTGACTGTATACTTTGACCTGAGGCCTGTACTACGAAGCCGGATTTTCGCTTAGCAAACTAACTTCAGGGAAAACTCTTGGTTTCCGGTCCTACGACGCTGGTTCACTTCTTAGCGGGCTAGATCTCCATGGTAACTTATGCTGAACGGCTAGCCTGGTCCGGAGCAGGTTAGGTTCCAGGATCTGACCAATCAGAGCTCAGTGTGCGGAGTTTAAAGCGATCAAGTCATATTACAGGAGAAAGGAAATACAGTTTAAACTGCCGTTGCAGGAAAGACGGCCGGCAAATATCACAGACTGTGTGAACGTGAACATTAATACTAATAGAATATCACTTCCCATCTTCAAAGCAATCTGACTATTATAACATTAGCGTTAAGAAAGCTTACTTAAATATCTGCCACAACAAAAGTAACCAGATCAAAGTAACATTACGTACAGTCCACGGCACTGTGAGTTCAGACGTCCATTTGTCCCATTATCATTCATATCATATCACATCATAATGTATCATATAGGCCTATTTCCTTATGAGTCAGCTTCTTGAGCCATATCTGCAACACTTACAGTGTCACATACTGTATACAGAAGTATTATTTTAAGCAACACATTAAGTTGACAAAACACTCGATTCAAATGTAATTAAAGTCAGATCCACTCGTGTCTTATACGGGGCAGTGATATCATAAACCTGTTAATGTACGCATTCAAACACTTTTTCTTTTACCAGCTGTATTCACCTTGCAGGTGCAGCTATGTGGCTTTTATCCTGGATAAAAGTCATTGATGTTTAAAGTCTAACGTCTTCATATTTGTTTAATATTATAGTTGAGTTTTCATTCAGGAAGTACGACGCGCTGAGCTGTCAGTAGGCTTGTCCATGTTTGTGATTGGTCGAATGCTCCAAATACCACCCCTGTCATGTGAACGCGCACCTAACTAGATAGGACACGGCTGGCTTGAGTTAACAAGTTGATAACCAGCGTCGTAGGACCGCTTAGCGAGAGCGCACTGTTTTGGATTAGGTAAACCGGGTAACTCAAACATATCCAGGTTATGTTGAACCGGCTTCGTCGTACAGGCCTCTGCTCTTTGTGAGGTTAATCCTTCTGGGGGAAAAGAACAATTGAGGCAGAGTGATTCACACTAAATTGGCAGTTCCTTGACGACAGGGTGCAGCCACAGCTTGGACCACACCGTCAACAGAGACTCTCTTTTATGCTCAACCATAACGCCAAATACTTCATAACACGGAGCAATGCATATTTAACCTGCAGATAAGTCAGGCAGCTTTAGCGTGTGTTTTGGAAGTTCTGTGTTGAAGCTGGTTGTGGGTGGAGGAAGAGAGGTATGTGTACATTGTGTAATGTTTTCATGTTCAACACTATCCTGCGAGAGCGGAGTCAGACCAGTTTTTAGCGAGGTGTGCCATGCTTTCTGAGTACATTGGCACTGGCATTTTAGTTTCTAAGAATTTTATACCATTTTAACTCCACCTTTTGTTCCAGGTCAATGTTAAATCACTTCAGGCCTCTTGCTCCGTGACAAGAATTTCGTCCATGAGTCTGCAGGTCACACCACATTACTTCACAGCCTGCTTCGCTCTGGTGCGCCTTTTATCAAATACTTTATATGCCATGTTTTCTCTATTTGACAAACGGTATGACAACATTGATCTATTGGGATTCGTGAGTTGCAGATCGGAAGCTATATCTTTATAATCAGGGAAATCCTTGGTAAGAAATCCCACACAAAAAATGACAACGTATGCTCTTTCTGGATTCTGAAGTATTAGGATTTGCAGCATCTTACTTTCTTATCTTAAATTGATCTTGGATACATTTTCTGACATAGTTGGCAATGGCTATTTCTAAGACCAGTGCTAATGTCAGGTGGACACACTTGGACATAGAGACTATTTTTAATTCCCCCTGCTTGCACTGCAACGTCTTGTTTCTTATCTTCTGATTTATCGGTCTAGCTCCAGCTTTGATCTGTTTGTCATAAAAACAGATCTCTGTTTTGTTGACATTTTGAGGGATAGCCATAGGAACGGCAGTGTCGGGCAGTCCCTGACTAAGGTTCAGACGAAAATATCTCCCCAATTATCGGATGGATTAAGATGACATTTTGTACAGACTTGCATGATCCCCAGAGGATGAATCTTAATAACTTTGATGATCCCCTGACTTTTCCATTAGCAGACTTGTGTTTGGTCTCATGCCTACCTCAGACTGGCCTCTCAAGTTGAATACCGTGAGTGCCTGTCCCAGTTGGTTCAAATGCTGTTATGGGGACTGCTATATTTTATCCTGAAAAAGAGAGTGCTGCTAGTTAGATCTGCATTAGTTTTCCCATTTTTTTCCTACTCTAGCACCATCAAAACATTTGGGGTTTTGAGTGAAATATCTCTTATTGTCCAATTGTAGGAAAATAGTTTATTATCTAATACCTGCTAAACCAATGACATCCCTACCATCGTCAGTTGTAGTTTGTGTTTATTACTTAAAGGCAAATGTTAGCATGCTAACCTAAAACTTGTTAGCATTTACCTCATAGGATCATTATGCCTTCATACAATCTCAGAGTTGACCGCATGGCTGTAGACATTTAGATAACATGATAAGCTGAATAATAAATAGGTAATTTAAAGATTAATTAATATCTGGTTACTCCACAACTGTCGTAACATGAAAGCTGCTAGCACAACTGATTGATGATTATTTTATATTGTATGTTTTTTATAAGTAAAGTTGGGCTCAGCATTTTAAAGTGATTTCGCATTTTCTAAGCAGACATAACCTTGGAGTTACCTGAGTCATGAGAAAAGCAATGTATGGGAAATGCAGTCGGTTATGGTTCCCATGACGGTAGGGCCCTGTGCAGGTCGTTCCATCTGCCAGTGGGTGTGTCCGTCTCTCTGTGGGCGGAAAGACAGTCGGCACCGGGCTGGCAGTGTCACAGGCGGAGAACAGTCTGTCTCTCTGATCGCGGCCCACCTCGCCCTCAGAGCACAATCACACTGTTATGTCTGAGCCATGCTTCGCCATGAAAACATCACG